CAAACCGGGTGAAGGCGGCGGGGGGAGGGGGGCACCCCCCACCCTCCGCCTTTCCCTTGCAGCCTAGAAAAGAGCAGAGGCTTTGCTCACCCCGTCCCCCCACGGACACCCACGAGGCCTGGGTCCCGGCTGGATGGGTTGGTCTGGAGAAGGCGTTTCAGGGCGCTGCTCCAGCGTCCTCTCTCCCTTTACCCCTTTTTGGACGTTACTTAAACGCGATTCTAATTACGCACCCGCGGGCCCGCGATCAAAAGCGACCCCACAGAGGGCAAAAGCGGCGCGGCAGAGCTGGAGACGGGGGGGATGCCTCCCCCCACCCCTGCCCCGGGGGCTCCACACCCGGGCCAAGCAGGACGGGGACCGAGCCGCGGCGCCGGGGGCTGTAAGCAGGGCCCGGAGCGGGGTGAACCGGTCGCCTTCGTCCCCTCTGCTCGGCTGCCCTCGGCCGAGACACAGTTTGCAGTCGGAGCCCGGCTTCGGCGGGCTGCTGGAGAGCACCGGGAATGGGAGAAAGCGGGGGGGGGGGGGGGGGGGGGAAGAAGGAATGGGTGCTGAGCCCCGACCCGGAAAATCGGTGTGCTGCTGTATGTCAGTAACTTACTCATCAATCAGCCGGACACAGAGCAGACCTGGCCTCTCTTTGCGGAGTGTTTGCTTTTTCACCAATTATTGCGGCCCTGCAGCTCTTTTTGTTGATACAGTAGTTCTAAAAAGTGCTAATGTTCATTTATCAGGGGGCCGAGCCCGGGACTCCCACTAGTTGTGATTCTTCCAAAAATATAAACACGAAGAGAAGGGCTAAGGCTAAAGCCCCCATTTGTTTCTAAACTGCAGTATTAAAAGTGATGCACTGTTGAAGATAAAGCAGAGATAACGCTGTCTGTCTCCAATGAATGTCTCCCCGACGCATTAATGACATTCCAAATGATAGCTCCGGCTTATCGTTCAATTAATCACTTCCACCCTCTGCAGCCGGGCCCACATCGATCGGCACCCTCCCTGTGGCGGGGGTCCGAGGGAAGCC